TTCCATCTGGTTGGGCTTTTATTTATTATTATTTTGGGGTATCTATATAGTTTTCTCATCTGGTTGGGTTCTATAAATATATAATTATAATGATTTCTTATATTTACGCGAACATTGCACATGATTAAAACTACTTTTACGGATTTTATCGCGTTTATTTTTACTTTTTATTTTTAATTCCCGACGTTTCGGGCGCTTTCCAGCACCCATGGTCACGGGGGACTGAGATGACTGACGTCCCGATGTCATTGTTAAACCCGGAGTACCTTCAGCTTTTTTTAATTATTGTTTATGGTCCGATCTATGCAAAATGAACTGACTACGGCCTGAGGTCTTGCAGTGGTATGCTTGGGTTTAGTTTTAATTTTATTGATTATAGGATCCCAAGCAGGTGGTACTACCCAGCCTCCTTCTCTATTGAAATTAGGATGTTTTTTAATTTCAATAGCCTCACGTATCATCCTTGGTAGGAATCGGTGTTCTTTCGCGAGGATTTGTGGTCTATCAAATCTGATGTAATGGTTGGGGCCGTCTAGGATATGATCACAAACTGCAGACTTCCCGGAACGTTGATGCTTCACATCAGCTATATGTTCTTTTACGCGGGTCCTAATTGATCTTTTGGTTTGTCCTATATAAGAGAGACCACATTCACAATCAAGCTTGTACACTCCTGCATCTTGTAGAGGAATATGACACTTGACGGATGGTAGGAACTGACTAATCTTCTTCGGCGGCTTGTAGAATGTTCTAATAGAAGCTCGCTTCAAGATATAGCCAATCTTGTCTGTGACACCTCTGACATATGGTAGTACGGCAGGCACACGCTCGACTGTGGCCGGCTTCACTCGGTCACTGTGACGTAGGCGCGGGACCCGAAGCTTGTTGTCGTGCAGAACTTGCTTGACGTGCTGAAGCTCGGCGGCCAGGTGTTTGCTGTCACAGATCCCTCGTGCTCCCTGTAACAAAGATTGGCCCACGGTAGCTAACTGTGAAGGATGGTGGTGAGATTCACCGTTTAAATATCGGTTTGTATGGGTCTTTTTCCTATACACAGTGTGACCAATGGTGTTATTAGGATTTCGGATGACTAACACATCTAGGAAAGGTAAGGAATTATTTGCCTCTAACTCCATAGTAAATTGAATTTTAGCGTTTATGGAATTAAGATGTTCTAAAAATGCAGTTACTTTGTCTGATGGTAAAATTGTGAAAGTATCGTCTACGTACCGCTTGTAGATCCTTGGTGTAACAGGTGCAGTAAGGAGGGCTTTCTCCTCAAAGTCTTCCATGAATATATCGGCGACAATGGGAGATACAGGTGAGCCCATCGCCACACCATCTACTTGCTTGTAAAACTCTTCCTTCCACAATAGATAGCCAGATGTAAGGCAATGTCTTAGTAATACTGCATATTCTGCTGGCATGTTATTTTCCTCTAGTTTCCTAGTTATAATTGAGATGCAGTCTTAAACAGGTAGGCATGTAAATAGAGACTGAACATCAAAACTGACCATGGTTTCATTGTCAGTAAGATGTAGGTCTTTTATCTCACTGACAAAATGGTATGAATCCTTAGTGTGTGCTCTTGTGTGTCCTCTGAGTGGTGATAATATTTTAGCTAAGTATTGAGCCAATCTGTAAGTTGGCGAATCAATATGACTCACTATTGGACGTAATGGAGCATTCGGTTTGTGTATCTTTGGTAACCCATACAACTTCGGTGGTTTGGCACAGGAAGGTATTATCGAATTAACGTCCAGATTCAATTTTTCGGAGTATTTCTTAATTAGATCGCTAGTTGTTTTAAGCGTATTAGTTGTAGGGTCTGTTTTGACCTTTCGATAAGTAGTTTCATCCGACAAAAGTTGTTGTATTTTAAAATTGTAATCTGACGTATCCATTATAACCGTAGAATTACCTTTATCTGCGCGGACCTGCTTGGGATCCTATAATCAATAAAATTAAAACAAAACCCAAGCATACCACTGCAAGAACTCAAGACATAGTCAGTTCATTTTGCATAGATCGGACCATAAACAATAATTAAAAAAGCTGAAGGTACTCCGGGTTTAACAATGACATCGGGACGTCAGTCATCTCAGTCCCCCGTGACCATGGGTGCTGGAAAGCGCCCGAAACGTCGGGAATTAAAAATAAAAAGTAAAAATAAACGCGATAAAATCCGTAAAAGTAGTTTTAATCGTATATAATTATAAATGAAAATGAAAAGATAAGTGTACATAAATATCAATAACATAAAATAAATATAAAAGTACATAAATAAGTAAAAGCCCAACCAGATGGAGGCCTTCGGCAGGGGAGACCAAACGGCCGAGGGTTAGGGGGAAAGGGAAAGAAACCGGCGGACGATGCGGGCGGTATCGAGGAGCACCGCCTTCTGCATTTGAACCTGGAGCGGTCCGCCACGTAGTCCCAGCCGCTTCAGATAACCCGAGAGGCTGACTGGGATTAGCCCGTTTGCAGAGACGACTACAGGAATAATTTCGGTCGGCAGACCACCCCACATGTCGGTCACCTCGTGAGCCAGGTCCAGATATTTTGTTTGCTTGTCTGTTTCGGCTTTCACGACGTTCTCGTCATACGGAATGGTAATGTCGACCAAAAATATCCTTGACTGTGCCCGGTCCATCAGCACAATATCAGGTTTATTCGCAAGAATAGTTCTGTCTGTGATGATGGCCCGATCTCAGTAGAGCCTGGCAAAGTCATTTTCAAACACGGCTTCAGGCAAGTACTTGTAATACGGCAATTTTCGGTCCACGAGATTTCAAAGCGAGCTCCTGGTATAGAATTCTGGCTACTAGGTTGTGCCTGTGCAAGTTCTCAGAGTTAGAAAGCGCCAAACAACCGGAGATGACATGCCTAAGTGACTCACCGGGATGGCGACAAGCTCGACAGATGTCGACGGTGCCATCCTTTAGGATGTATCTCCGATAGTTGTTGGCCTTAATAACCTGATCCTGTATTGCACAGACAAAACCCTCGGTTTCCCCGAAGAGATCACCAAAGCGTAGCCAGTGGAGGGAGGCTACTGTGGCTACGAAAGGCTCATGTAGAGCCTTGTAGAACCTCCCGTGGAGCTCCTTCTCCTTGCATACGGTCTCCCGGTCGAAAATGCTCTGCACTGCCGGGTCTTGCCATTGCTCGTTGGCTAAGGATAGAGGGGTAAGTCCTTTATCACAAGAAAAGACGTCCTTATAGAATGGATCATCCGATCTCGCCAGGAAGTAATCACGGAGGCTGCACACTTCGCGATTATGCATGGTGAGCGCGCTCAAGAAGCCACGACCACCATGCTTCCGCGGCAAGTACAGCCTCATTACCGACGATCTCGGATGATGCATCCTATGGGACGTCATGGTAGTGCGGACTTTTCTATTCAGGGCGTTAAGTTCAGTCTGAGTCCACCTGAGTATGCCAAAGGTATACATGAGGACAGGCATGACCCAACCGTTATATGCGTGTGCCTTATTCACACCAGACAAAAGGCTGTTAAACACTTTGGTCAAGCGTGCATAAAACACGTCGCAAACTGACTGTTTCATACCAGCCTCATCGATACCGATGTTCTGTGACATACCCAGGTATCGGTATGTTTCAGCCTCGGAAAGGGTTCTTAAGTTGACGGGCATAGATAAGTCTATGCCCTCAGAGTTAGCAACCCTTCCCCTTTCAACATGGAGGACCGCACACTTATCCGTCCCCAGCTCCATTCTAATAGAATTGCTAAATTTACACGTGATGTTTAGCAATTCCATAAGATGGGAGCGACTGGAGGCGAATAACTTGAGGTCATCCATATAGAAAGGGTGGGTCACTTTTGTACCTCCTTTCCGAAGTTGAAATCCCCCTCCCGGAGCCCTCCAGTAAAGTACTGAGAGGGTTCAAAGAGAGGCAGAACCAGATTGGACTCAGACAGTCGCCCTGGAATATACCCCTTCTTATCCTTATGCGGCTTTCCGCAGCCGTCATCCGCTCGCCCAGATGACAGAGGATCGTACTCCACTGCCCCATACACTGCTCGAGGAAGTCTCGAACTGTACAGTCAATCTTGTACAGCTCGAGGACCCTCTTTAGCCATGTATGGGGCACCGAGTCAAATGCCTTTTTGTAATCTATCCAGGCGGCGGAGAAGTTCCGACGGTTGCGTTTCACCACTTTGCCAATGACCGCGTCAATGAGGAGTGGTTCCTTGGTTCCACGACCGCCGCCCCGACATCCATTTTGAGCGCGCGACATCACCTGATTTAAGTCCAGGTGACGAGCGATTCTTGCGCTCAAAATGGATGTTAGTGTCTTGTATATGGTCGGTAGACACGTGATGGGGCGGTATTTGCTCGGGTCTGTGGCACCCTGATCTTTAGGAACCAAATGAGTGATCCCAGTAGTGAAGAGGCTTGGGAGCGACTTCTGGTTGAGAGCCTCTTGAAACTGTCGGGCGAGTACAGAGTGACACACCATGAACCCCTTCAGCCAGTAGTGATGCAGCCCGTCAAGCCCCCGGACTTTTCCAGTTCGGGGCCCTACGGACCGCCTCAGCCACGTCTTCAGGCGTTATGGTGACGGGGTCCATAGGCGTAACACTTGCACTCTGGCTCGCCACAACTTCCATCCAAGGGCCCTCGCTGTGGTTTACGGGCTCTGACCACAGGCCACGCCAAAATGCGACAGTGTCAGCCTGATCCGGTCCTGGGCCCGCTCCACATACCTCTGGTCGCTCCAATGATTTATAGAGCCTCTTCTGATCACTCTGGAAGAGACGATTCTAGTTGAACCGCCTTGACCTCTCGCTAAATCGTCGAATCCGCTTCCCCCAAGCAGCGATTTTTTGCTTCAGGTCATCTGTGCGCTCCGTTAGTTTTTGCGTGATATCCGGCTGGAACAAACTGATATTTGTCCCAGCAAACGCCTAATACGCATAATCCTCGGTCTATTATTACCCGACCTGAAGCTTGTCAGTCTGCCGATAAGGGCCCTTACCTTTGCGATACGGTCCTCAATTCTTTTTCTCCAGGCTGGGATGGCGCTACTTTTTGAGTAGCATGTCCAGCCACGGGAAGTTTGGCGCCAATAATACGGCATACTGCCAGTGCGACGCCAAAAAGAATTTTTGAATCTGTCTCGCAAAGGTCCCGGCTGGCTTCCAAATAGGTCACCAGCATTGGGTTAAGAGCCCGCACGACAGCCCGATTTCGCTTGCTAAGGGGTATGCGGGGAAGTCGCGGTCGATTTTCGAGAGGCATGCTGCGCGTTTCCAGCATCGACTCTTCCAATATGCTCCTCATTTTCTCTAGTTCGTGGGAGACTATTCCATCATCGTCTGAATTAGCCACAAATGGAATGTTGACGGCAGCATCCACATATGCAGTTTGTTGCGCATCTAGTGGCGCCGCATTCCCAGCCGTAGCATTTCCATTCGATGAAGGAATAGCCTCACGTCGTAGTCGCTCGAGTTCGGCGTCACCAAATATGTTGGAGCGCAGGATGTACCTAACTCGGTCTGCCAGGTTTTGCTCAGTGACAGATAGAGATGGCTCCAGCTCTGCAAAAAAGCGATGCATCCGAGCCCGATACGCCAAACATCCAGTTTCTTCCCCTTTTGCCCTAAAATACGCCCGCAGTGCGTTTTCATTCATTGATTTAGACCAACGCATGCGACGTGCTCCACCAGCGGCGGGTGCCGCTTGCTGAGTCCGAGAAGACCCAGCCGACACCAAGCTTTCTGGTGGGGATGATGGATGCGGGGGGCTGCTAGGTGGTCTTGCAACACCCCGCGCTCGGCAGGCGGCCCACATGCTGTCGCGTCCAGCGCCAGCTCCAGACGCGCCCTGGCGACCTCCAGGCAGCGGCCCTTTGCGCACTATCTTTTTCTCCATCATCCATAATATGGGCTTCCATTAACGGGAGACGCCCAGGCCCGGCACCGTATCGTGGACGGCCATAAGCACAAACGGGCCTTTGCACCCTGAATTCTGCCGAGGCACGGCGCTCACACCTCTCGCAAGGCGCTGACTGACTGCGTTGACGTAGCAGTTTTGTCACTTAACTGTTACGTCAGCGGGCGATGGGGTCGTCAATTCCCTACGCCATTTATTATTATTATTATTATTATTATTAGTGTTCGACCACATACCCACCTGGAAGTAAGTGGTGATGATGCCCCAAATAATAAAACGCACTGCACTTATGCTACTGCATTAATTATTTATGTTATATAAAATCCATCTAGGTGCGACCCGAAAGGTCCACACGACTAACTTCCCAGTGGAAAAAATAAAAAAATATCATATGTTTTAATATTTTATACAATTTTTCATTCGGCACAAAAAACGACTTGACGGATTTTGCTCAAAATTTAATGAGGTCTAAGTTACATAATTATTTGTTAAATGAAACTGGTCCCATGTCAATATCCCTCTTTGTTCTCGAGATACACGAGGCGAAAATTTAATCCGAACATACATACATACATACGTACATGTACACGGACATCCTCTTAAAAACCGTACTATTCGACTCTAAAGACGTTGATATGTGGATATATATTAACATTTCCGTATATGACCCCATACTAACGAACGAATACTGTTCCCATCTCTGGGTTGGGGCTCCCCAGTACCAGCTCCTTCCACTTGACCGCATCCAGCGCAGAGCGGCTCGAATCGTCGACGACCGAGTGCTTTCCGATCGGCTCGATTCACTGGCATTGCGAAGAGATGTTGCATCTCTTTGCATTTTCTTTCGCATATACCATGGAGAGTGCTCTGAGGAATTGTTCGGATTAATCCCAGCCACCAAATTTCGTGAACGCACTACGCGGCATACGTCCCGATACCATCCACACCATCTGGATGCTTGGCGGTCCACCACTGTACGTTTCAAAAGGAGTTTTCTTCCGCGTACAACCTTTCTGTGGAATAGTTTACCACCGGCGATTTTTCCGGACCGATACGACCTGGGGACCTTCAAAAAAAAAAGAGCTTACTCCTTTCTAAAGGGCCGGCAACGCACCTGCAATTCCCCTGGTGTTGCGGTTGATCATGGGCGGCGGTAATCACTTAACATCAGGTGAGCCGCATGCTCGTTTGCGCCCTCTTCTATAAAAATAAAAAAATATGAATCCCCATAGGGACTAATTAACGCCACAATACACGGTCCTGAATAACCAACTAGTGTAGGGCGGCCTTCGCCCTACACTTCGCTTACTGGTACAAGGCTGCAACTCGAGAACCTTTTCTCCCCATCAGTTATCTGTTTTTAAGATATGGCCGGGCCTTTGCCACCAGGTAAAAACTTTGGTGGCGCCGACACCACGTAAGAAGTGCCTTTAGGAAACAGGAAATAACAAAATGTCAATCCACATGAAAAGCCTGACGTAATCATATTCAAAGATGTTAAAAATGAATTAACTAAGATCCGCGTAATAAACTAAGTTACTTAGCGGTCAGCCATCGCAGAGTCTACTACTTCTGAGTCTGCCCCGTTTAGAGGCGAAACGATATATATGGTGACGGGAATAGGACGGCGGGAAGTGCTCTTCAAACTAGATGAGTCAATTCATTATATTTTATTACATGGATCATTGTTGAATAATTTTCAACATCTTAAATATAACGGATTTCCGCAAAGTAGTACCTGATTCTATTACCATCGTAACAAATATTCTATTAACATCGTAATAATAATATCTAATAATATAATCCTACAACGGAAGTGTTCCATTTGAAGTAGTGCACTTGTAAGCGCTGATGAAGAAGAAATTTCACCCGTATAAATATAATTTCTACGTGGAAATAGAAAGCCTAAATGAATCAAATTACAATGTTCAATATTCCACATTGTACACGAGAAATAATCAGATTCATATCGCGAGGTCACAGCCGCGTTTCATTGTTACATATGAAACATCTTTATGAGAGACATGTGATTACATTAAGATATTTTAAATGTGTTACTGTTTGTTTTAAGAATTGTAAATTAAAAATTTTCATTTCTTTATAGGATTGGGTGACAAACGAGTACACAGTCCACCTAATGGTAAGTGGTTGCTGTGGTCACTTATCTTCGATTACGAATCAAAATGCAGATGCGTTGACACCCGTGAGGACTAAGATGGAATGCCTCGTTCCCAGTAAAAAGGTTTTCCAATCTCCACACTCACCATACGAAACAGCAGCATTAAGCTACTATTTTACGCTGGTATTCTGTGAAAGCGTGGTCTTTTCCCGGTCGAGCTGATCCATTCGTGCTACAACTATAAACTAATATAACTGGAGCATGGCTCTACCACGTAAAATGATACTACCTATGACACTACCACGTAAAGTGATGGTTCATGTGCAACCCTCCATCTGCAAAAGAGTTCGAATAATAAATACCAAAAAAGACTGCAGCATGGCTCTACCACATATAAAATATTTCATACATTTATATTTTTATATAATACTGATAATGTGGTTTCCTTTTTTGGTATTTAACCAATTAAATGGTGAATATCAGCAATATATATTCCGATCAATAAATAAAGAATTCAATAACAGTCAATAATTATGACTACAATTGATCAAGTCGTCCTGAAAATACATGGTCGTTAACAGACGCTACAACGATTTTATATAATAGTAGCAATCCGCCCCCAGCTTCACGCGGGTGATTTCCGGATATCGATAACAGCGCCACGTACTTGGTCCTATTGTGAAGTAAATGAACATAAAAAACATATTTACTGTTGAAAAAACTTTACTTATCGTAAGAACTGAAATACGCTACGAGCAAAAATTTGAAAAATCTTTACTCATACGAGGGTGGATTGAAAAGTACTCGGCCTAACACAGATCCATTCAATTCTAAAAATCAAATCTACCCACATTATTTAGTTCAGTTCAGACTAGTTCATTGTGTGAAGTTCGAAACGTGTGCGATAATTAGTTGTGATTTTATAAATTTATTAACAAAGTAATCGGACATAATTTCCGCGAATGGAGCAAATCGAGCAGCGTGCCGTCATTAAGTACCTCCATAATAAGGGGCTATCATCAAAAGCCATCCATGATGACATGGTACATTAGGCGATTGTGCTCTGTCATATCATCATTATCATCATTACAGCCCTTCACAAGTCCACTGCTGAACATAGGCCTCACCCAAGTAATGCCACAAAGCACGGTCCTGAGCCACCTGCATCCATCGACTTCCTGCATGTCTTACCAGGTCGTCACTCCATCTAGTGGGGGGTCGCCCTACACTACGCCTACCGATACGAGGCTGCCACTCGAGAACCTTTCTTCCCCATCGGTTATCGGTTCTTCGAGCTATATGGCCGGCCCATTGCCACTTCAGCTTACTAATCCGTTGGGCTATGTCGGTCACTCTGGTTTTACTGCGGATATCCTCATTTCTGAGTCTATCACGCAGAGAAACTCCGAGCATAGCCCTCTCCATAGCTCGCTGAGCGACCTTAAGCGTCCTCATACGGCCAGCAGTGAAGGACCACGTCTCAGATCCGTAAGTCATCACTGGCAACACGCACTGGTTGTACAATCTAGTTTTTAGAGATTGAGGTATACCTGACGAAAAGATATGCCGTAATTTCCCGAACGCTGCCCAGCCGAGTTGAATCCGTCGATTGACCTCTCGGTCGAAGTTGGACTTACCTAGTCGGACTATTTGTCCCAGGTAAACGTATTCGTCAACAACTTCGAGCATAGTGCTCCCAACAACTACCGGCATAGGTGTGACATGGACATTGAACATGATCTTTGTTTTGTCCATGTTCATCTTAAGACCTATCCGTTGGGAGGCACTATTGAGGTCATTGAGCATAGTGCTTAAGTCCTCCAGCGATTCTGCCATAAAGACTATATCGTCGGCAAATCGAAGGTGAGTGATGTACTCGCCATTGATGTCAATACCGTATCCTTTCCAGTCCAGTAGCTTAAAAACGTCTTCCAATGCAGCGGTGAAGAGTTTCGGGGATATAACGTCACCCTGTCTTACACCTCTCTGCAGTTGGATAGGTTTCGAGCTCTGGTTCTGTACTCGGATAGCCATCGTAGCCCTACTGTACAAACACTTCAGCACTTCGATATACCGACAGTCAACTTGGCACCGCTGAAGGGACTGTAGCACCGCCCAAATTTCGACGGAATCAAAGGCTTTCTCATAGTCCACATACGCCAGGCAAAGTGGCAGATTGTACTCTTCAGTCTTCTGTACAATCTGCCGCAGGGTATGTATGTGGTCTATGGTACTGAAGCCTTTTCGGAAACCGGCTTGTTCGGGAGGCTGGAAGTCGTCAAGTCTGCGTGCGAGACGATTCGTAATGACTCTCGAAAACAGCACGTAGACGCGGCTCAGAAGGGAAATCGGTCTGTAGTTCTTTAAGAGAGCGTTGTCGCCTTTCTTAAAGAACAAGACCACCGCACTTCTGCTCCACGCCTCTGGAGTAGTGCCACCATGGAGGACGGAATTGAAGAGCTTCTGAAGGACTTCAAGTACCGGTGTTCCACCCGCTTTCAGAAGCTCCGCTGTAATTCCATCCTCGCCTGGGGCCCTGCCGTTTTTAAGGTGCTGGAGAGCCATTCTAATCTCGCTTAGACTGACGTCCGGGATATCATCGGAATAGTGTCGGATAAGACTTGCTCTTGGATCGTTACTCACACTTGCGTGTGGCTCCAACGATGATGTGTACAGCTGCCCATAGAACCTCTCAATCTCACTCAAAATCTCAGGTGTCCCGGAAACGATGTTGCCACACTCAGTCTTCAGCCTTGACAGTTGGCTCTTTCTGGCAGATAGATCTCTGGCAAAGACTTTGGAGCCCTGGTTCCGCTCGATCGCTTCTTTAATACGAGAAGTATTAAAGTTGCGTAAGTCTCGC